TAAACTTTACAATCATTAAACTTTACAACCACTAAACTTTACAACCATTAAACTTTACAACCACTAAACTTTACAATCATTAAACTTTACAACCACTAAACTTTACAACCACTAAACTTTACAACCACTAAACTTTACAACCACTAAACTTTACAACCATTAAACTTTACAACCACTAAACTTTACAACTAGTAACTTTACAACCAGTAAACTTTACAACCAGTAAATTTACAACTAGTAAACTATACAACCACAAAATTTTGCAACCACTAAATTTTATAACTATTAAACTTTGCAACCACTAAACTTTGCAACCATTAAACTTTGTAACTATTAAACTTTACAACTACTAAACTTTACAACCACAAAATTTTGCAACCACTAAATTTTAACTATTAAACTTTGCAGCCACTAAACTTTGTAACTATTAAAAACTTTACAACCACTAAATGTCGCAACCACTAAAATTTACAACCACAAAAAGTCGCAACCACTAACCTTTACAACCATTAAACTTTGTAACTATTAAACTTTACAACCACTAAACTTTGTAACTATTAAACTTTACAACCACAAAACTTTACAACCATAAAACGTCACAACCACTAAACTTTACAACTATTAAACTTTGTAACTATTAAACTTTGCGACCACTAAACTTTGTAACTATTAAAAACTTTACAACCACAAAACGTTGCAACCACTAAACTTTACAACCATTAAACTTTACACCCATTAAACAGTACAACTACAAAAATGTATAGCCATTTAACTTTACAACCATTAACACACAAACACAAGAGCATAAACACACAAACACACCCACACCAACACAAATACACAAACACACTGCGAGCAAACTGAAAACATTTTCTTAAAAATAAAACATTATATTCTTCTGCGGCCAATCATTTGACGAAACTAAATGTTGAAGCAAAAATAAAAACTAGAAAGCAGAGTTTACTCAAATGATGTCAATTTGTATTTATGGTGGTGGCCATCTTGGATTTTGACTTGGCAACACAGTTTACGTCCAGACGCAGACATACACCACCATGGAAGTCTGTACCTCGCTTATTTTTCAAACTATCATGATCACATCGTGTAATGACCAACGGACAGTATTTAAACACACACCCTTGGCTCGGGGGGGGGGGGGGGAGAAGCTGAACATGTTGTGACGCATGAACAGAGAATATTTCGTTTTTAGATTCGATCATCCAGAAACTGTTTTAAAACTCCGGTTCAGCTCAGACGCCCGTCTGACAGCTGGAATACAAACAACTGATGATGGAATCAAACCTTCTGACAAACTTTAGCTCCACTGCAGCCCCGACAACAAATCATAAAAAGAGCTTTTAATAAATAATCCCTCAAATTAAAGCAACACTGAACAGAAACGTACCAGCACTGACTTGACTTTGTTGTTCTGCTCTGATTTAACTTAAATAAATCTCGTCACATCACACTGAGCCGGTTTGTTGGAATGTGAACTTTGACCCCTCGCTCAGTAAGACGGCTCAGTTAACTCCACAGGAAACACGTTAATTCTTCTGAGTGTTTCCCGTTGAACGACAGCTTGTTAACGAGTTGTGGAGGTTAACTTCCTGTGCAGGTTTGTTACTCACCTGCTCTCTGGTGAAGTTCTTCTCCACGCTCAGCAGGGTGGGCGTAATGAACGGCTCCCCGGGTCGTATCGACGTCATGAACCCGTAAAAACACAAGAATAAGACCGAGCACGTTAACTTTCCGACAACGCCGGAGTCCTCCGGGGAGTCCTCCGGGGAGTCCTCAGACGGAGACGTGACCTTGGACGCCGCCGCGGCCGCCTCCACGTCGCCGCGTTCCTCTGCATCTTCAGATGCAGGAACCTCTGGATTGTTCTCCTCCGAGGAGGAGCGGCTCAACGCCGCCTCGTCCACCATCGTGGCAGGTCACTCCGGGGAGCGGTCCATTTGAGGATCGACTTTCAACTAAAAAAAATGTCAAAATATGAGCGCGGACTGAAAAGACAAGTAATAAAAAGCCGTTCTATCCCCGTCCGGTCAGAGTCTGAGGAGAAGCGGCGTTTCACGTGCGCTGAGAGGCCAGCTGGAACGCTGCATGCTGCCGCTCACATGCAGGAGGAAATGTTGACCTTTGCTTCTTCGCTCCGCAGCGATCCTGCAGCCGAGACGGGGCTCGTTGATCTGAAACGATAAACATACGCGTTAGTCAGAGCGCAGGAAAACGCTTTCAAACGGTAAATAATCTGCAAAACTCATCAGATCACACGACAGACGGAGCAACTTGCTGAACATTAACACTGGAGGTATAGCGTTATGGCTGTGAATTATTTATTTTTAGGCTGAATGACTAAAAAGCAGGTTTTAACGTATAAACCAGAACTAAATGCTCTCCGACAGGTACGACTAACGCAGAGATTATGTTGTTTTTCACCAGATTACCAAACGTGTTTCTGTTGCGGATGAACACGTCCTACATTAGCTGAGTGAATTATATGCAAATACATGTTAAAAACTCTAATCCTAATCAGTCTGGAACAGATAAAGCTGTTTACGTGTTTAAAACTAAACTTTTTACTTCACTTACTTGTAAATTTAAAAGCCACCGTGGATTTAAAAATCTTTATTTTTACATTTTATATTTTAAAAAACAAGCCAGCGAAGCAGTTTTGAATCATTGGGCTTTTACTTTGGACCACTACAACTGTCACTACTGAACTTTACACTAAAGGGAATAAAAATATAAATGTAACTTTCTGTATTTGGGTCAAAAGTTTTGTTGTGAACAAATCAAACCTGTTTGCAACAAACAAGTTACATAAGCAGCTGTCGAGTCAGCACAGAGCCAGCTTTAGCTGCTAAAAGCTAAAACTGGAGGTTTGATGTAAAAATAAGACAAAAATTAAGCTATCTGAGGCTAACGGTCATTTTATGATTAAAAATGAGCGTTTGTAACTAAATCAACAGCAGCTAAATATAATTCTACTGAACTAAACCGTGTTAGCTCTTAATTAAAAGTGTGCATTTAGTTTTAGTTATTTTTCAGGTTAAACATTCCTTACTGTACCTCGTGAAGTGCTGCTGCGACACGATTAGAACCATTTTTTTCTTCCTAAACCGCGGGGGTTTATGGGACTTGGAGTTTTACATCCTTTCTTTTAAGAGTCCCGACATTTTATTTAATTAACCACAAAGCTAAAACTGTTTAGCCTAATCTTAGTCGAGCACATTTTAAAAGTAAAATTTGTTTTTTTGCGTTAACTATAAAGCGTAATTCTTTTTTTTTTATGTCTTTTTCTGGCTGATATTTCGTAATAAAGCGCGGGGGCTTCTGGGAGTTGAAGTCAAACGAACTTTCAAGACGCGGCAAATCTTTCTTTGGTTAAACACAAAACAGATCGAGATTTAGCAAAACGTTTCTAATTCGAAAAATATCCAAGAAAACCAGTTTATTAAAAAGTATTTGGTTTTATTTATTTTTCGCCTTGATATTTTTTCCTCGTGAAGACCCGACATGGGGGGAGGGGGCGGGGGCTGCGAACCTCGGGGGCTTCTGGGAACTGAAGTCAAACTTAAATTTAACGATGCGCGTCAAACGTTTCTTTAACTTAATTTTAATAATTTAATTAGTTTAATTGACTCAAAACTTTTTGCATCAAAGCTACAAACTTCTCAGATCTCAACAGGATTCTTTTATGAGGAAATAAAAGTTTTTTTTATTATTTTCTTTGTTTGATTTCTTCCGTAAAGAACAAAATGCTACTTTAAAACGTGTCAAACTGAAGGCCCGGGGGCCAAATGTGGCCCTCGTTGACATCGTATCTGGCCCCCAAGAAGTTATTTTAAATGTAAAATACTTTGATTTTTTTCATCATTCTTTGATTATGACGTCAAAAGTGCAACAGAGAACGTCAAATGAGACCAATCCAACTCTTGTTGAGGAACCTGCAACCAAGAGAAGATGTTGGGATCTGACTTGAGTTAGTTTAGATTCTGAAACTGGCCCTTAGTTTGAAAAAGGTTTTAATTCTGGCCCCTTGTGTAAGTGGGTGTGACACCCCTGTTTTAAGAGAAGTAACTACTCGGACTGGTTCTGCTGCTATAAGTGCTTTACATAAAAATGTGTTTACACACATTGTTTAGGAACAACAAATACCACAAGAGTCACTGATTTACCTTTAAACTGAGCAAATAAACATAAACAAATAAAACTGGAGAGATATGATCTCTCCCAGTAACTCCAGTTAAGACTCTGGCAGCAGCATGTTGGATCAACTGAAGACGTTTTAAAGAAGTATTTGGACACCCAGATAATAAACCATTGCAATAGTCCAGTCTAGACGTGACAAATGCATGGACCAGTTTTTCTGCATCATCTTTAGATCAGATGTTTCTAATGTTAGTGATATTACGCAGGTGGAAGAAGGAGGTTCTAGTAACGTTTTTAATGTGGGGGATAAAAGACGTGTCCTGATCAAAAATAACACCAAGATTTTAACATTAGAGCTGGAGGAAAGATTAGTGCATCTAAGGAGGGAGAAAGACTGAAACATTCATTCCTAAGGTGCTCAGGTCCAAAAACTAAAACCTCAGTCTCGTCTGTTCAACAGGAGAAAATTAAGGGTCATCCAGGTTTTTATGTCTTTAAGACATGCTTGTAGTCTAAGTAGCTGATTGGATTCATTGGGTTTAATGGACAAATATAATTGTGTGTCATCAGCATAACAATGAAAATTTATCCCATGCTGTTTAATAACTTTATCTAATGGAAGCATATATAAAGTAAAGAGTATTGGTCCAAACACTGAACCTTGAGGAACTCCATGACTAACTTTGTTGTATGAAGATTTATTATTTACATTTACAAACTGGAATCTATCAGATAGATATGACTTAAACCATTTTAGAGCTGTTCCTGTAATCCCAACATCATATTCAAGTCTCTGTAGTAAAATATTGTGATCAACTGGATCAAATGCAGCACAATATGAAGATGTGCCTTCAGTTTAGTAACAAACAAAAATGTATTTAAATCCTTTTATTTTATTGTTATTTTAGTTAAATTTGACTAATTTCATTTTAGTTAGTCTTAAACTGAAGGGAGCTCTGGAAATATTTCTCTCCAAAGGTGGCCACAAAAGTTTGAGAGCCATGGCCTTAACTTTTGTTGCACCAAATTATTTCTATACCTCTCTCTGACATTTCTGCACCTGACCGCAGGAGTTCTGGTCCACCTGACCGCAGGAGTTCTGGT